CAGCAGTGTACTTCAGTAGATCCACTGTTATGCTCTTCACTCTGTCTTGGTAAAACCTCTAAACAGCCCCCCGCCAATGCCCCCAACCCAACATGTTTCTGGCCTACACTCAAGTTCCTGTATGCATAAATAAATCAGTCTTTCAAATAATAGTGTATGGATGTAAATGACTTCCCACTTTGCCCTGGCCTTTTCACCCCGCACTCAGAGGCAGAATTTTGGAGGTGGGAAAGTGAATTAAGAATATTTCTAGGAGGAAAGCAGAGGAGTGGCCAGTTGGCAAGAGCCCTGATCAGGAATGTACCCCAGGAAGGGTTCACTGAGTCCCAAAGAGCAGGCAAGACTCAAGATTGAATGAGGTCGAGTGAATGCCAGAGGCTAAACACAGGAAGATTATTGACAGTCACTATTATAAAACAGTCAACTACAACTCCACCATAAGGTCTTCTTTGCACATTGCCAGTTGCACCCTGCACCTCCTCTGCCCCAGGCACATCCACCAAAGGAAAAAGTAAGTTAACTGAGATGGCAGGTTAACCAGACCTTCACCCTCTCCAAACTGACAAATATGACAGGAAAGAAAACCTTATTAAAGTCTCAATCTGCAAGGACAACGAAAGGAAGAGGATTCAGTGATGGACAAAGACATCTAATCAAGTGTTAAAAGGTGGAAAGAAGGGTGGACCCTCCCTGGTGGCACAACGGGTTATAGCACAGACAAGCTACCCCAAGTGCCTTAGCACAAGTTTGATCCCCAGCCAGGGAACTGACCCACATGGCGAGCAAACCTGACCCGCCTGTTGCTCCCCTCGGCAGTGTACTTCATCGATCTGCCTGTTCTGCTCCCCACTCTGTCTCTGGTGAAGCCTCTCACTGCTTCTGCACCTCTGGCCTGTACCCCTGTTCTGTATGTATAAATAAACCTTGGCCCTCCCTGGTGGTGCAGTGGGTTAAAGCAATGCACTGAGAAGCTAAAGCCGCTTCCGCATGAGTTCGATTCCCACCTGCCCCGGAGGTGACCA